AAACAAATGAAGCAATGATATTCCTCCCCATAAGCAGCTGGGTATCAGCAGTGAGCAAACTGTTCTCAAAACTCCCTTTTTGGGAGTTGTTAAAATCCACCTGCAGCTCCTGAAATCCTCAAATCCAAACTCTGTCTCAATGCAGCACTGACACATCTCTCTAAAATAAGTGTCCAGCATCCCATAAAACCCTCTGTGATACAGCTCCAGCAATTTCAGACAAGGAATGTTCTTTTTGGCAATGCAAAGCACCAGAATGGAGCACACCCAGCACCAGCCAGCTGCCCCCTCAATACCTGGGAAATGGTCAATGGCAACAACACCAGGTCACCTGGGGGTCCCTGCTGTCCCCAGCTGCTGCCACAGGAAAATGAGAGGCAGGGAGGTTTGACAACTCTGTGAGTCCTTTCCCTGTCCCACATAATAGAATCTGCAAAGCAAAAATAAGGTCAGACACTTTCAAATTGCTGCAATAGGGGAACTGGGAGATAATTTTATATCCAGTTCTGCAAAAGGCTAAAAATAAGCCTGATAGGAGGCAGAAGAAAGAGCCTGAAAATGGATTATTCTCATTTTTCCTGTAATGCAATTTGAAGATGTGCCATGTTTAAGACAGCCGAAGTGTCTGGACTAGGGATGGTTCTTTTTGTGGATTTTGCTATCTCCTCTGTAAAGAGGATTTTTTCCTAGTGTTTGTACACACTGGTTTTAAAATGAAATGTCCACCAGCACTTCTACTCAGCAAGAGCTTCCACATCAGATCAAAGGTGTTATGAGTAATTTTTTTTTCTTATTAAATGTTTAATTTTCATTTTAGAAGAAAAGAAATACCTTGAGTTGTTTAAATAACCTGATTCTTATTATGCAAACAAAGGGGTGAACGATTCTGGTTGCAGGCTCTCAGGTGCTGAGTGGTCACTGGTTAAAGACTGGAATTCCTTTGTTCTCAATATCTGCAGCAGTGCAGTGTTTGTTCCTGCTCTGGCTGCACCAGCATCCACTCTGCAGTTGCATCCTGCTGCCTGATCTGCATTGCTGTGTCCTTGGCAAAAATACCAGCCTCTATCATGCACAGAGGGACTGAGCCGGTGCAAAACCTGGACACCCATCCTAAGCATCTTTTCATACCTCTGGAAAAAAACCAGAAAATGTAAAGTTTCCAGGTGTAAAACCAGGGGTTGAGTTTAAAAAAAAACAAACCAAACAAACAATAAGTTAAAACAACAGAGTCCTTTGAGGAGTAGAGTATCCCACACCTGGGATATTTTTTCAGGGGGATTTTTCTGGAAGGATCCAGATGAATTTGGTTTTCCCTCAGCAGCAGCTGGGAGTGGCCATGGCTGGGGACAGGGCTGCAGGATCACTGCACTCACTGCCCAGGAAAGGACCCTGCTACACACTAATTATGGTGATTTATATCCCTGGTACCCAAAATCTGTCACAGCTTGGGAAAGGGACTTTTTTGAATCCCTTTTTCTAATTGAAACACAGCACATTTTGCCTAATTATTGATGGAGCTTCTATCAAATACCCAATGTGGGCTTTTCTCCTGCAGGCCTGCAGGGTGAAGCTTTGTTTGTCCCAGTGCTGCACACTGTGAGTGAGGAAGGGATGGACACAAAGCACAGAGAGCCCTCAGCAGTGCTGGGTGTTGAATTCAGGGATGGACACAAAGCACAGACAGCCCTCAGCAGTGCTGGGTGTTGAATTCAGGGATGGACACAAAGCACAGCCAGCCCTCAGCAGTGCTGGGTGTTGAATTCCATAGCCTGAAGAACCTGGACTGCTCCCAGCCTTGGGAATGGCTCCTTGGCAGGGCTGCACAGGTACCTGGGCTGCAGCTTGAGGATGAAAGTGCAATTATCAGATTTCTGATCCACTCCAGAGGGCTCTGCCATGGCAAGACTCTATTGTCTTCCAGAGAGTAAAATCTAGCTTGGGTGTCACCAATATCCCTCAAGCAGGTAAGAGAATTTCAGTTCAGAGTGCTGATGTTTGGAAATGAAATGCAACTGCTTTAAATCTCCTCTGCAGAGGTGCAGAGCAGGAAAGAAACAACAACATAGTCAAGAGATATCACAGAAGGAATTGTACTTGAGTGGTTTAAAAAACAATTGAAGTATTTATCATTGCTAGTGCCTAAGACCTCTTACAGAACCCATTCTTAACTGTTTTCTCTTTCTTATCACTTTGGAATGGTGGGATTAAATTTGTGTTATAGAACTAGTCCCCAAAATGATTGGATTATTAGCACAGAGTGATGTGCTATCCTGTTCTCTGCTAGTACTACATTTTCTAAAAGCCTCTTAAAGATGTCAGACTTCTGAAGCAGCATGAAAATGGTAATAAAAGAATTTTGTTTTAAAAAAAGAATTTCAATGGAAAGAATTTTTTTCATTTGTGTTTTGTGAGCAGCTTTGTTGACTGGAATTCCTGTGCTAAAAAAAATACAAAATATGCCAGGAATTGTGGCAATGATAAAAGTAGTGTGAAAGCCTGGAAATTCTTGTTTGGAAAGGAAGCAGGGTGGAAACTGGAGGAAGCTTTACAGGAAAGAGTTGCTATCCTGGTATCTGCCCTGCCTGGAAGAAGAAATGATTCCTAAGCAGATGCCCAGAGACGGCTACACAAAGAAACAAACAAAGTCAGAAATCCCAGCAATAAATCCCTGAAGGACATTTCACAGGAGTGTGGCAGCTCCAGCAGGGACAGCTCAGCCTCCATGGCTGTGAGAGCAGAGTTGCACCGCTCTGCTCTCTGCTGGGTCACTGCAGGGTGGTGGCAGTGCCCTGTGCCCCGGCCTGGCAGTGATGGATGGCTCCAGTCCCTGGCGTGGGACGCCGCTCCCGCAGGTTAATTGATTTCTTTTGGCAGAGCCAGCTCCCAGCTCCTGTTGTCTGAGCAGCAGGGCTGGCTGCTCAGGGAAAACAAGGCAGCCTGAAATAGCAATTCCTCTGTAATAGGTGGGATGGAGGGGAGGACTGGCTGGGCAGAGAGCAGCCCCTGCCAAAGGTGTGTGATGCCACGGGCAGATGGACTGACAGGTGGGAGCTGGATCTGGGGTTTTTATCCACTAATAGCAAAATGCTGTTACCTTTCCTCTCACAGGCAAGCATGGAGATGCTAACAAATAAATCCTGCCCCATGAATTCTGAGGAGCCAGTGAAGCTGCTGGAGGGGGCAGACAGGGCCTGGTTGGCAGCACAGACCCTGCTGCACAAGGGTCCCTGCACAGTCCCCAGCTTTACTTCTCTCTTACTCCACTCTCACTTCTCACAACGTGAGTGAAGCTGCACTCCAGGAATCTCACTGCAGGATGCCACAGTGTATTTTTAACATAGGAGTGGGCACACCCTAGAGAGAGTAGCCTTCCTAAGAGTCACTGCAGGGAAATTATTTTGTTAACCATTATTTATGACACTTGTTCTCCCCAGTTTGCAACACAAAATACCTGTGACTGACTAACAAAAAATTCATAAACAGATGTGAGTCAGGAAAGGGAATGATGCTGAAAGAGAAACAAAACCAGATTTGAAACCTGAATGTTTTTCTTCTAAGAATGGAGCAGTGGCAGTTTGAGAGGCTGGTTGCTCTGGATGTGGACAGAGTACAACCAAAGCTGCTAAGGGCAGACAGCAACAGAGGAAAAACCCCTTTAGTGCAGGAGCCATTAGAGGTGTGGATGTGATCTCCCTCCCACACTAACAGTGCTGTGAAAGCTGGGGGACACAGCAGTGCTGGCAGCCCAGCAGAGTCACCCAGGCTGGTGCCCAGCCTGAGACCTGTGGTGTCCCCTGAGTGAACCAAAGCCAATTCCTTGAGATCTGCACTGGAGCTGAGAACAGCTGGATACCACAGTGCCCTGCTCAGCAGAAAGGTCCAGGTGGGCTTGACGTGCTGAAAAATGGACTGACCTGGGACTCATCACTGTCTGAATCCTGAGCCCCTCCTTCACCACCTGAGGTGTCATCATGCCACACTGGCAGCACGTGTGATGCAAAGGCACACAAACCACCACAGCTGGAAGTGGAATGAGCACTCTCCTCTCTGAACACAGGAAAGACAAGCCCTGAAGCTTTCCTATTATCAGGTGAGCACCCTGAGCAAAGGAAAATGCTACAGAGGGGGTTTCATCTGCTGCACTGACACCAAGTAGGACTTTTGGTTCCTTGCAGCAAAAAACCCACCCTGAGCACCCAGAAACTTCTGTTCACCTTGCCATGTCTCCAGGTGGTCACTGCCTGGACTGGCATGTGCAGCTGATGTGCACAAGCACAGCACAGGCACAAAACAGGGCTGGAGAGCAGATCCCACCTTCCTGCCCCATGCCATGCCAGGGAGACCATCAGAAACAAGGGAAAGCTTTCATGTCTTACCCAAATCATCTGCTGTAGGATTTACCTCTGTTTTCCCTTAGGAAGTCCTTCCTAACACCTGATCTCCAACTTCCCTTCCTGCCATTTAAGACCCTTGTATGCAGATAACAAACCAGGCACACACATCCTGGCAAAACCAGGATATGATGTCCCCAAAGCCACACTGAAGGACTTCTGTAGGACTTCTCAGGCTTATGACATGAGGTCTTGTTTTTCCACAATGTTTAATAAATAAAAATAGAGGAACTTCTTCTTTCTTTGGTATTTATGTATGCTGGTAAAAGGAGGGTGGAACTGCACTTGCAGGGCCACAGCACCATCTGTGGCACTGCTTCCAAATCTCTTTCATCCATCTGATAAGACAGTGTGAGCCAGAAAGTATCACCCAAACTGTTCCCACACTTATGTCAACTCCAAGCACCTAATTTTCCTTCCACCTCTGCTACACCTGGAGTGATATTCCAGGGCCCTTCTCCTTAAGGAAAATCAAGGCTCCCATTCCCCAGCGGGGGAAAAGCAAAGGCAACTTACAGCCAACACCAGACTAGTCACCTACCCACATATTCAGCATGACATTACACATAGTAACTCTTATTTTTCAACAATGATGAGAAAGAGACTAACCCCAGAAGTTTGTATGTCATGTGGAAGCGTCTTCTGAATTACTGTAGTTGCCAACCGTGAGATGATCCGAATCGGTTTCTTTACTGAAAAACAGTTGCTTTTCTTTCATGAAGCTGCAAGAAGGGACTGGGAAAGACTCTTTATCATAGCAACCCTTGAGTGCACATGTCCCCACACACAGCTTGCTGCCTCCTTGCCTCCTGTTCTTGGCTGTCAGAGGAGGTGAGTGGGGCTCTGGGGATGGAGGCAGGTGGGTGCAGCCTTGACCAAGCTCTGGGGAGCAGCTCCTGCTCCTGACCTCACACTCCACCAGTTCCAGCACCCAGCAGCCCCTCACCATGGACAGCCTGGGCTGTGACATGCTCAGGCAAGGCTGTGAGGGGCCTGTGCTCCCCTCTGAGCCACGTGGCCAACAACTGAGATCCACCAGAGCAGAAGCGTGTAAAGGATGCCCAGCCAGCATGACCCAAGCCCCTGTGCTTCGTGCAGCCTCATGCACTCTGCTGAGCCCAGGATCTGAACACACAACCCAACATCCTTTACCTGGAAGGGCCAAAGCCAGGGGAAGAGTACAAGCATAAGGTTCAAGAGAGCAAACAGGCTGTGGTGCCTCCCCGTTGGCAATGGCCAGGCTACTCACTGTTGCTCAGCTTTGGCTCGGTCACTGAGGAAGAAGAGGGCTGTGGCCAGGAAGAACATCCCTCCCAGGACAACCACGAAGGGGCAGAGCATGAGAGCATAACCCAGGCTGAGGAACTCCCACACTGGGGACTCCTTTGTGCTTTGTCGTATCAGGTCGGAGATCTGCGAGAGAGGAGAAGAAAAATGAATCACTCAGATGAAAAAGAGACACCATGAGAGTGAAGGGAACAGGATTCCTGAAACAACCACCCACCAAACATGTGTGAGCTTTAAAATGGAACAGTGTGTTCAGTGCAAGCTGAATGTCCCTCACACCCTTCAGCTTTCCACACTGGAGCCTGGGCAATTTCTGCTTTGAGGTGTGATCATGTTCACAGGGGTCTGAGGATGAGGGAAGAGATGAGGATCTGACTCCATGTTTCAGAAGGCTGATTTATTATTTTATGATATATATTATATTAAAACTATATTAAAATAATAGAAGAAAAGATTTCCTCAGAAAGGTAGCTAAGAATAGAAAAGAAAAAATTATAACAAAGGCTTGTGTCTTGGACAAAAAGTCCAAGCCAGCTCACTGTGATTAGCCATTAATTAGAAACAACTAACATAGACTAATCCCAGATGCACCTGTTGCATTCCACAGCAGCAGATAATCAATGTCTACATTTTGTTCCTGAGGCCTCTCAGCTTCTCAGGAGGAAAAATGCTAAAGAAAGGATTTTTCATAAAAGATGTCTGTGACACTGAGCCTTGGCAGGGGCTCTCGTCTGGCTGTCACTCTTCTGGCCTGATCTGACATTATTCCCACAGCCCTTTCCATGCTCTCCAGGCAGTGTCAGTGACAGCATCTGTGGGTGTCTGACCTTGCTGCACCCAGGGGAGCCAGCAGGGCCCTGCTGGGGCTGCTCAGGGGGTGAGGCACTGATCAATCTTCTGCAATTCCTGTCAAGTCCTGCTCACTCCCACACCTGATCTGCCTTTCAGCAAAGGGAGGTATTAAATTCCATTTCTGTGTACTGAGTGGGAAGGGGGGAATGTTTTCCAAAGAACAAAAAATAAAAAAACCAAACCAGATCCCATCTGATTTGGAGAAAAATAATTGGAACCTGGGGGCTTTATGCCCATGTCTGAGGTATATGGGGCTCATTCCTTCTTCCAACCTCTAAAGCTGGAAGTGTAATTGTGTGCAAGACATGGCTCTGTCCCAGGCTCAGACATGGGGCTGTGCTGGCACTGCACACCACCAAATTTATGGATCAAGGCAATCTGCACCTTCTGACAACCAAAAAGCATCATTACATGAAAGTAAACACAAATTATTTACACCTACACAAAGGAGCAGAGACATACAACAGCACTATTTTGTTTGTTATGAAAAGCTTTTGCTAGAACTCACTAAAATATAATGCATATCTGTAGCTAAAACTTCCACATTTTAATATTTACTGCCCAGCAAACAATTTTACTCTCCATAAATCCAACAGAGAGGCAGCAGCAGTTGGGGTGGGTCTCAAGGCATTGGGTATTTAAATGTCCAGCTCTGTTTTTATCCATGACCTTTTGTTGGGGGAGAAACACTAATTTATACCAAAAGACTGCAGGGAATTTGGAACAAAAAATCCTGCTGCTGTGCACACACACAAATCAGCTCCAGAAATAGTCAAAGCTTGTGCAGCAACTTCAAAACTGCCACTGGTAATGGAAAAGTTGGAGTCAAACACATCCTACAAGCAAGTTCTGACATCCAAGGCTTAAATCTTGACAGTGAAAAGAAGAACTGTCACATGCAGGAGAAATCACCAGCTCACACTCTGCAGTGACCTGGAAGGTAAATGTGAGTGAGGAGATGCCTGACCAACAGAAGGTGCCAGGAGGATGATGCTCATGGGGTTCCAAAGAACACTGGGAGTGTTTTAGCAGGGAGATTTTGGAGCACTGGAGTCTCAGTGTGGACACATCCTGCCCTACAGGAGGAGAGAATCAACACTGGAAGACTGCAGCTACATAAAGAATTGAAGGGTTTTAGCCTCATTTCTCTGTTTCATTCCCCGCCCTAGAAAGGATGAGGAGAACATTTCAGTGCTTGGGATATAGAAGAGTTCTAGTCCTCTCAAAAATAACTTTATTCACAGTGTAAAACACATGAAGAAAAACAAAAGAGTGTTGCAAACAATTCTGATGCGAGACTCAAGGAAAATAAAGTGACCATTAGTCAGAGAGATTTATTAAAAACAGCAACAAGACCTGAGTGTGACAAGGATGCACCACAGGAAAGTAGCAGAATGTGCTCTGCATTCAGGGACATCAGCTGGTCATTAATTCCCTTTTGTATCCACACATCTTAATTCCAAACATTTCCCTTACTCTTCATTATGAACCAGAGTTTGGCATCGAGTCAATGTCTCTGTCAGGCTGCAATAGCCGGAATTGAGAATATTCTAAAACAGAAATCTAGACATCCTAAAGCACTTTTCATTTTGGGGAATGGATACAATTATTCTCTAAAAGGACCAGATAATAAATCACTTGATAAATTGACATGGTAAGTCAGCAGCAGAGGAAGAAAAGCCATGCATGTGGTTCTGATTGCTTTCTCCATGGATGGCATGACATTCTAGGCTAAAAACAGCTTTGAAAGTGTAAAGTCTCCAAAAGATAAATCTCCCAGCGCAGTTTGTCTCACACCTTCCCTTCTAATGCAACAAATTGTCTTGACCTTTTCTAGCAACAAATCATGTTATTATTAAATCTGCTGTATTTTTCATTTTTAACCAAACATATTCTGCAAATGCACAGTTTAGAAAAAAAAGGCCTTTCCTCCCTTTCAAGATATAATTCTTTCCACCAAGCCTGCTGGGCTTCCTCACCCAGGTTCCATATAATTCACTCCCCAGTGTCTTAGTCTCTAAACTCTAGGATTTTACCAGGTCCATATTTTTATATATATTATTATATATATATAAAATATATTTTTTATATATAGATTTTTGCTGTTAGCAGTCACTGCTCCCTGTCAGTTTGTTCCAAACCACCTGCTAAGGCTGGAACTTTGGCATCTCCTCTCAAGAGGACACAGGGCATAATTACAGACCCAGGCTCCAAGAATGACACACCGTTTGCCAAATGCTCTGCTCTCTCTGTACTGCCAGTTTTGGGTTTTCCTTGCCATGACAGCATCCTGAGCTGGCCAACTGTGATTTGGCAGGACCCAACCAAGCATAATTTCTGGTGTCTTCTCTCTAAGATGAGTAACAAACTGCGGGGGCTGCGCGTGGCCGGTGCCAGCCCTGCAGCACGCAGTCGTGTGTGGGATTCCTTCCTTTGTTCCTCCAGCTGGGAGCTGCCAAAAAGCTTCAAAACATCTCTGAAGAACGTGGGGGTGGAAAATCAAGAGGGAAGTCCTGTTGCTGCTCTGCAGTCTAATCACAAGTCTTTGATACCAGCTGTAAGAGCCTGAATGAGAGATGCAGTGAAAATGCAGTTTATTGTATCCAAGGTGTCACAGCAGTCCAGGTTGTGGGTGACAGAGCTGTGCCCACAGCTGTCAGCTCCAGCTGCAGGCAGGCCTGGAGACCCTGAGTTTTGGTTACAACGCATTATAGACTTTGGTTTTGGTTACAATGCATTCTATACTTTTCTTTGCTGAGCATTTTAATACAGTAGAACCAATCTGTACCTTAACTTTTACCTATAGCCTATCATAGCTACTGTAATTACCATATTCATGTCACTGTTCTCCAATCACTAAAAGTCAGTACATTACAGTTTAAGACAGAAGTTGTTTTTCAGTTTTCTTGCAGTGGAAAATTCTGAGACCTTTTTTCTGCTTGCAACATTTGCTGACTTGTTTGCCTGTGCTCTCTTTCTGCTTGGTAAAAACATCTTCTTGTTTGGGGTGGGTTTATCCTTTGCTCTAAGCCATAAAAACCCCTTCTAACTCACACACCCTTTGCCTCCTTGGTTATCCAGTGAGACTGGCTCAGTAATTCTTTTCTTCTATATCAAAACTTGATTCCATCTCTATTCCTTCTTCAGATTCTACATTCAAAAATCTTTATGCTAAGCACACATATCTGTGAGACTTTCTTGTCAAACTTTCATCCTTCCCAACAACCAGCCTAGCTGTGAAATTCACATCTCCTCCCTGGCTGTGCAGCACAGAGCTCAGAGCAAGAGGAATGACTTTGCTGAATAAACCCAGCTCGAGGCTCTTTCCCAGCAGAACAGGACAGTGTGTGCTCAGCTGGATGGAGTCCAGTTGCAGACAGCTCCTGCTTTCTGGAGAAGCAGCAGTGCAGCTGCAGTGGGCACATCCCAGCCCCAAATCCCCACCTGTGTCTCCATCTGAGTGCAGGAGACAGCAGGGGAACAAAGGGAAACTTCATTGCTGTCTTGGGAGGAGTGGTGTGTGCTTTGGAACAGGCTGCAGGCCATGGAGACAGGAGGTGCCAAGGTGGGCTGGAGCCCAAGGTGGCATCTGGATTCCATGCTCTGTCTCTCCTGAACAGTCTGGGTGGGTAAATTAACTGGTTTATTAATGACACAGTGTAATGGTAACAACATCTCCCAAATCACTGTTTCATTTCCTCCTCTCTTGTTGCTGAGTCAATATCTCAATTCCTCTGCAGTTGGCTTCTCTAAGTTTCTGATGTTGCCACTTGGGCACAAATCCTGCTACACAACAGAGTCTTTCTGGCACAAATATCTGATTTTCATGATTACCAGTTTGATACGAGCCAGGTGCTCCCTGGCTGATCATTTCAGTACAGTTCCCTAACACAGTATTCCCTGTAACCCCACAGTGGTTTGAGATCCACCCACTCTCAAGTCAGAGTGAATATGAAAGGTTTCTTTAATTTTCTAAAAAAATGGACTATGAATGAAAATGAAGCTGAGAAAGCAAAAAGGAGGGATTTTATAAAGTAAACAATTTGCTGAGCCTGGGGGAGCAGAAGAGTTTATACTGCATTAAATGGCATGAGGAACACTTTATAATAAGAGGAAGTAAACCTCTTTTTTTAATGATATTTTCCCCCTCCCAGGATGACCAGGCAGCATTGAATATATGGTGCTGCCTTGAAAAAGGCTACAGTAAATTCAGATACTCCATAGGGATGCTGCTTGCTGTGTCAGGACATGCATTTGGTACATCAGAGCAATAT